GTATAAAACACGCTTTAAATATAATAGAAAAGCATACGTAATAATAGCATACATTTAACTAAAATATCGGTCTTTAGTTCAGATCATACATCTTATAATTAACTACTGCTTTTTGTGTTTTTTAAAGATCATTTTAAACATAGTGATCAGGTATGGATTAGATCAGTGTATTGATCACAAACCTTTTTACTGGTAATTGCAAAAACAATATTCACAGAGTTTTACCTGTTTCAAAAGCTATGATTCTGGCGGCATGGTACTTTGGTACATCGTTTTCCCAAATATACTTAACAGATCAGTTCGGGGTGGGTTGGGGGGGGGGTGTTCAACTTCATTCACCACTGTCCGGTCACTTTAGGTCAATTATCAAACCCAGTGTATACCTAGGTGTGACATTAATGTCGCTCTACACAATTGTGGTGGTGAGGTGTGTGTGGGGTAGGGGGGGGGGAGATAAACAACTCACATTAAACATAGCGTCAGTTTTTAGATGACTGTTCTAAACATACATATTCAATTACACATATATACTGATTCAGAAATAGATTTAAATAAGTAGCAGTGATATTATGACAATATTTGTTTACAGAGAATCCATGGGGGGGGGGGGGGGGGGTTGTAACTGTTTCATATAATTTGTAATCGTAATCACTATCGCCCAAACTGTCATAATACTACTACTTCATCGTGATGACGTTGTTGACGTTGTCAAAATTTCCCCACCACTACGCAGTTTGCCCATAAGTAAATTTAAATAGAGGTGCCACATCAGTTGTATTTGTGTATGTATTGTAATTTTTTAAAATTAATTACACGATTAAAACTGTATATACAAAGTAATTATGTGTGAAGATTTATGTATAATATTTTCTAGATCAATTATTCTTAAGCAAATAGATAGATAGATAGATAGATAGATAGATAGATAGATAGATAGATAGATAGATAGATAGATAGATAGATAGATAGATAGATACACAGATAGACAGAGAGCGAAACTATTATTATAGATAACTGAATAATAAACCATAGCCTAATAAAAACTTTAATAAAATTGTGAATTGTTTAAAAACATTCATTAGAATCTAGATCTACATTAATAAAACTTTAAAACATTTTTGTAACTTTCAAAACATAAATCTTCCTAAAAATGTGAAATTTTTTTTATAAAATTTAATGAGTCACCTTGTTTCACATTACTAGTCTCGACCGATTTTACGTACCTCAAACGATAAATTAACCATTTTTGTAACCTTCAAAACATAAATCACCCTAAAAATGTGAAATAGTGAAATAATTACAAAAATGTATTGGGTCCATTTTTTCACATTAGTAGATCTAGAATCATCTAGATAAGTAGATCTTGATTTAGAATCTAGATAATAGATATAGACTATAGAGTCTGCTCTTGGACGATTTTACGTGCACCTAAAGCTAATATTTATTTAGATTAGGGCCTACCAAAAAAAAAAATTACAATACGAATACCTCAACGCCTTGTCTTACGGCGACTTACGCGACAGCAACTTAAGTTGTTTTATACGAAATATATCCAGGTCAAATTCTTTTGTTTTCTCCTTCTTGAAGACGAATTTTTAAAATTTAGGTATGACGTCGTCGGTGATCCAAGTTCCCCCGGATGAACAACACTAGGTCCGGTATGAGACGGTTAAATTGAACCAATGAAAGCTTTTTATAACTAGGCAAACTATAAATAGCTTCTACTTATGTGCGGGGCCCTGTAAATACTACTAGCCTTCGGTACCCGTTTCACGTGAATTATAGGTCTATATATTTTAATTTTAAAATGTACTTGTTTGAGAAAAAAATTTATGAAATAGTTATTGGTCAAAACGCAATGTGCTTTACTACACGCTGGACGACATAGTGACAAATTAAAGAAATAACAAATTAGCTAAAAATCCGACGCATTTAACATAACACAGGCACGCACTGATTACTATTCAATGGTCATTATGTTGTTTTTAAGTAATTTGTATTAGTTTGACATATAAAATTATTTTCACATATAAAAAAAAAGTTTGGCATGGTGTGTCTCGATCCCGCACCACCTGCGTGGTATTAAGTAAACTATCATCTCAGCTATTAGGCACCTTATAAATTATTGTGAATGAAAGAAATATTTTAAAAAGTTAAACTTATGCGAATATGCCTTTTCTTTCAAATTAATTTACTTCCTTTAATAAAAGCTTTGGTCGCTAAAATATGTAAGATAGGGATCATAAAAAAAAACGGATTGGCTTATCTAAGGAAGTGGTCACTCACGGTCAGTTTTCAACCTGCGTGCCGCATGGCCGAGTGAATTGCCGAGGCCTATGTAAAAAAATGTTCAGAACCTAAGTACTCTTAAAAATTGTTTAGATTCGTCTTGCTTTTAACGAAATGTACAATGTTTATTTAGTGAAAAACGACTGGTCAGCTTTGACCCCTTTACGGATAATTCCCAAAAGTGGCTTTCGTCGACAAAATTTCTTTTTCCATAAATAACATAGGGCGCTGGTCATTTAAGATCAGCTTTCAGTGACTTTCACCCACTCGCCCATTTCATAGTGTCCAGTAATCAAATGGAAAATATTACAATGGTATAATTTTAATTTCAGTCCATGTTTGAGGGCCTCAAAGATGAAAAGTGACAATGCATAATTGTTGTAAAACACATGTTGGTAAAGTGAATGAAATAGTAGTAGATTAGAGATTAAAAAAAAAAAAAAAAAAAAAACAACAATAAAGCTTATTTGATTAACAAACATTAAAATCAAGGAAAATTAAAATATAATCAATATATCAACCTTACGATTTCACACTTTGCCACCCAATTACAGAAACTTGTCACCTCTAGTCTAACAGTACCTTACTTACTCACTCTCTCACCATATATATATATAAATATATATATGGTGAGATATATATATTATATATAATTGGTATCTTTATGTACAATTGTAGCCTATATATAAAAAGTTTTGACGTTTTAAATTGTTCACATTTTAAAAAAAATAGATTTAAATAAATTATAACAAGTTTAATAATACAAAGGAATACATGAAATTATATCAGAGGAACATTGTATGGTTGTATGATTAAAAAAAAACACTTGTATGAATATAACATGAACATGCTTATCCATAACATGTATATCTGAAACTGCATTGTACAAGATTTTCTTCTTCTTCTTCTTCGTTCTTAATTATTAGTGTTGAAGGGGATCGAGATTTATCTGCCAGTGGGTTTGAACTCAAGACTTTGTTCGATCTTTTTGCCGACTCGACCACGCTTACAACACAATTAAGCGTTACGTGTCAACTGGTTATGCGCCATTAAGGCCATTGACTCCGATTTCAGCCTGCTTTTCTTTTTGGATTTGCTTCCATAGCCTTTGTCCAACCAAGAACAAACTACAAGGCAGCAGTTGTTTAATTTTGGAGTTGTCTCTCCTAGAAGAGTGGCTGTCCCCAGCTAACGAGCCTCATCTGCCCGAGACTTTTCGGTTTAGCAACCATGAGCTTTACCGACTCGACCACGCCGACCCCTAAGCTTAGTCCAACTTCGGTTGTTTTATAGGAAATATATCCAGGTCAAATGTATACAATTATTGAAGCAAGATTTATTTTGCAACAATAAAGTCATCGAACCTGCCACAGTGTAGAAGACATTGTTTCTTCATTGTTTTATATAGGTGTATTTATATATAATATATCAAACAAGGTAATCGTAAAGAATGTGCTGTGATGATTTATGACATTCATTCTTTCCTTGAAGTGCTTTTTCTCTTGTGTGACTATTTAGGAATTATTGTTGCATAATTTAACAAAATTAATTTTTAGTGACATCATACAAATGGACAACAGGCTGATGTTTCAAATGTTTCCAAGAAAAAATCCTCACAATTTTTAAACAAGTTTTAAAAAATCATTGTATCTGCTAATTTTTAAAATGAAATGTTTAGATAGCCAATACATTTGTAGGTCTATTATTCTCTATGACAAATTAAAGGATGATAAGGATTATTTATATCCTGTATAAAACACCTAATGACAGTGAGAACTTTTTAAATGACAAACATCAGTCATATTTTCTGTCTTCACATTGTTACCTCATTGCAAAACTCATCATTTTATCATAAAGATTAGTGATCCTTGTGAACAAGAATTTTATAACCAACATCAAATGGAGGTGGCTAATTTCCTGAATGAGACTTCTGATGATGAGATAGAGAAGATTTCCTAGAATATTTTTTATGACAAACATCACATTCATGTGGCTTAAGCCCAGAATGAGTCATTTGATGTTGAGATAACAGGTACCTCTGAACAAACTTTTTATGACACACATCACATTCATGTGGCTTAAGCCCAGAATGAGTCATTTGATGTCGAGATAACTGGTACCTCTGACCATACTTTTTATGACACACATCACATTCATGAGGCTTATGTCCAGAGTGAATAGTTTTGTGTGTATTTAAACTAGATTTATGAGCAAACTTTTTATGACACACATCACATTCATAAGGCTTAAGTGGACTGTCTGAATGAATCTTTTTATGTCTAAATAAATGAATTTTCTGAGAATACTTTTTATGGCAAACATCACATTTATGTGGCCTAAGCCCAGAATGAGTCATTTGATGCCGAGATAACTGGGACCTCTGAACAAACTTTTTATGACACACATCACATTCATATGGTTTCTCATGTAAATGAGTTTTTTTATGCTGAGATAAATGACTTTTAAGATTGAAACATTTTTGACAAACATCACATTCATATGGCTTGAGATTAGAATGTATATTTTTATGGTCAGATAAATAATTCTTTGTTGTGAACTTTTTAAGACACACATCACATTCATATGGTTTCTCATGTAAATGAGTTTTTTTATGATGAGATAAATGACTTTTATGATTGAAACGCTTTTGACAAACATCACATTCATATGGCTTGAGATTAGAATGTATATTTTTATGGTCAGATAAAGAATTCTTCGTAGTGAACTTTTTATGACACATCACATTCATGTGGTTTAATTCCAGCATGAATATTTTTGTGTATAATCAAACTATTCTTCTGAGCAAAGTTTGTATGACACACATCACATTCATATGGCTTATGTCCAGAGTGAATAATTTTGTGTGTACATAAACTAGATTTATGAGCAAACTTTTTCTGACAAACATCACATTCATATGGCTTGAGATTAAAATGTGTATTTTTATGGTCAGATAAATGACTCTTCAAGGTGAACTTTTTATGACACACATCACATTCATGTGGCCTTATTTGTGTATGAATATATTTATGTTGAGATAAAAGATTTTTACTATTAAAACTTTTATGACACACATTACATTCATGTGGTTTAATTCCAGCATGAATATTTTTGTGTATAATCAAACTATTCTTCTGAGCAAAGTTTGTATGACATACATCACATTCATATGGCTTATGTCCAGAGTGAATAATTTTGTGTGTATATAAACTAGATTTATAAGCAAACTTTTTATGGCACACAACACATTCATGTGGTTTAATTCCAGCATGAATATTTTTGTGCATAATCAAACTATTCTTCTGAGCAAAGTTTGTATGACACACATCACATTCATATGGCTTATGTCCAGAGTGAATAATTTTGTGTGTACATAAACTAGATTTATGAGCAAACTTTTTATGACACACATCACATTCATATCTCTTGAGATTAGAATGTGTATTTTTATGTTCAGATAAATTACTCTTCATAGTGAACTTTTTATGACACACATCACATTCATGTGGTCTGATTTGTGCATGAATATTTTTATGTTGAGATAAAAGATATTTACTATTAAAACTTTCATTGCATCTGTCTTCAGGATGTAATTTATGCAGAGAAAACTTCTTGTTTATTTTCTTAAGCTGTTTTACATGACTGTTCATAGCACCTTGTTGATGAGTTTTCATATGTTGTGTAATATGATGAAAATGAGTAAATCTTTGACAACACATATCACACTTATATGTCTTCAGTCCCTTGTCACTGAGCTCATACATTGTTGGAAAATTATCAATAACTTCTTTATGCAATTCCTTGAGTTCTTTTAAATCATGATGAAGATCTGATTTTAAAATTGTAAAATTTTCAATAAAAGCATCAGAATCTGGTAAATATTCAAGATGTCTTTTAACATCTAAGCTATTTTCGTTTTCACCCTTAAATGATGAAAATGTTAATATATCCTTTTTCATAACATCAAAACTTAAAAATTCTGTTGAAACATTTGGTTTCATATCTTTAGAATAATAAAATGTTTTATCTGATTGTTGATCTGAAGTTGAAAATGGAACTGTTTCATTTGACTTGTCTTCAAAAGGTGAAGATTGTGATGATATATTTTGATTGATAAGATTTGAAGTTGAAATCAATGGTAAATTTGGTTTCACATCTTCTAAAGTTGAAATTGCCAATGTTACATCTGATTTAAAATCCATAAATTGCATTGCTTGGTCATTTGATTCCTGTTTAACCACAAGTGCACTTTGCAAAGACATGGCTGATTTTCCCAGTCTGTTCTGCATAAATTTAAATAGATGGCTAAAAAAGAGAAAATAAAAATAGATATGAACAGAAAAATAAAATGTTTAAAATCTTTTATCCCTAAATATCAACATTTTTAAAAAAAAAATAAATAACCCTCTAGCAATTTAATACTTCAACGAGAGCAATATTTTTAAAAGTTTTCAACTTTTTAGTAATTCTCTTCGTAAGATGAGTAGAGATTAATTACTTTTGGCCTAAGACAAAATTTTATTTTATTTAAACTTAGTAATTTTCCTTCAACAAATGTTGATACTCTGTATAGTATACTTTAAAGTGTGACCACTAAAGTAAATACCAAGTAGTGCAAACTTTGCTTATGAGTCCACACTAATTGTTAAGGTTATAAAAATAATAATTTAGAATAACAAACAATACTTGCTAGATGAATCAACCTCATCTGTTTTTTCTGGTATAGCTCTCAGTCAGCCCATAAGATTTACAAAATGAAGTGTCTATTCCAAGTCAATTGTGAATAACCGTATTAAGGCGATTCACAGTCATGACTGTTTTTAATACATTTAATGTTTAAAAAACACAGAATGAGCATGAAAGTGAGTGGACGATTGGACATATAAGTGGCTGTCGTGCTGGAAGGTGTGGGTTCTAAACCAACAGATGCCTACTTTCCTTTAACTCTTTTTGTAGGAAGCCTAATTGTCAAAATTTTATTTTTTCCTTGTTATTCATGGAAGGGTTACTTCTGTAAAAAAAATTTTCATATGTGACAAGATTAAAACAATTAACTAATGTTTTTATTACTATAAGTAAAAGTGTCTTTAATCTTACCCAAATAAAATAATAAAAATTTGACAATTAATTTTAATTACTGTTGTAAAGAGAGATAAACAGCTTAATAAACACATGCTTTCTTGAGGGGATGTGGCACATTGCAATTGGAACTTTGTATTTCTGTATTTTATGACTATATTTGTACACAATCAGCATGCTATGCTTTTTAAATTGATAAAGGGTAAGTATACAAAGTTACAAAACCTGCAATCAAACTAATGCTTCTTACATAGTCTGGTTAGAAAAGGGAGCGGTATTTTAAAGTTATTTGATTTGAAAGACAAGAAGAAAACAGAGCTAGTTTCGTTAAGGCGCTTGCGAGACAAACAAAACAATTAGGTCAAAAAGTAGATCTGACAATTCTTAAAGAACAGACTTAAATAGAAACGGATAGTTCCAATTTTTAAAATTAACGATGGTCTTGTAATCATTAGTTTTATCCATATACCATTTAGTGAAAGCGAAACTGGTCGCCATTTAAGTAAGCGCATGAGCCGTAAGATGACACGATGACAAACCCAGAAGCGGTTGAACCAAACGGCATACATATTACTACATAGGCTAAATCCTCCTCAAAATGTGAAATAATTATTAAAATTTAAGGAGTCACCAGTTTTTCACAGTCTTCCTACACCAAAGTGAACTTAAAATTCCATGAGAATTCCAGGAGTTTTTCAGGAGAAAACCTAAATTTCAGGACATAATTTATTGTATTAAAAAGCAACAACAACTCAACCCCTCGCTGAATGGAAGGAAGTTTGACATTGCTCAAATAGGAAGTGGTCTTTATAAAATGCTATGGAGAATAGCATTTGTAATTTTTTTAAAGTAAATATCTAAACTGTTTAGTTGAGTTAACGTAGCTTCAATTTTGCACCCCACCCCTCCCATTTATCAGTTGTTATTAATAAAATTGCCATTTCCCCTCCCCCATTTGGAAAATTTGGTGGCACTTTTTACCAGTGACTATTCTCTAAGTTTTTATCTTTGTGAAACACAACTGAGGTAGAGAAAAGATCAGTGTGTAGAGTCTTGTAGCCGTTTATTTTCTGAACTTTTACTGTGTATAATTCAATAGGCCTACTTCAGCATAAAATGTGCTTGATGAAAAAACATAACAATAAACTAATTTAAAATGTTAATCAATTATGTTTGCACTGTTGTTTTCAATTCAATGATTACTGAAATAGTGAGTTAGTTCACTTGGTAAAATAATAATAAATTAATTTAGACCTTTAATAGAAGTATATTGTGAAATATTTGTGTCAAATATTATAGATAGCTGAATAATAAACCAAAATCAATGCTAAATATATCAATATAGGCCAGAAATTAACTTTAAACAGCAGTGTTTGCGAGCAAGATTTGCTATATATATAAACAGCAGCCATTTGTAAAATAGAGTGGCTTCCCCTGAATCTTCCGCTATAAGTTTAACAAAATCAAACTTAAACAAGATGGCTGCTAGGCCTATAGTAAATGAACATGGTTGCATCAGATGAAAACATCGCTAGTCTTCATTTAATACTTAAAAGTTTTAATACAATTGTTTAAAAACAGGTACATAAATGAAACAAGGAAACATTTTTGTATTTTTCAAAACATAAATCCTCCTAAAAATGTAAATAATTATAAAAATTTAAGGACTTATAAATAGGCCGTTCGATTCAACGCTTTTGAGTTTGTCATCTCATGGCTCATGCGCTTACCAAAAATGGCGACCAGTTTTGCTTTCACTATTTGGTAGAGGGATAAAACTAATGATTTCAAAGCCATAGTTAATTTTAGAAATCGGAACTATCTGTTTCTATTTAAGTCTGTTAAGTCTTTGTCTTGCAAGCGGCGCCATAGTGAAAGTAGCTCTATATAATTCTTATCTTTCAAATCAAATAACTCTAAAATACCCCGTGTATAATAAACCAGACTATGTGTATATGAAACTTGAAAGTATCAATTTTACACACATTACAATTAACTGGTAATAATTTATGGTCGGTATGAGATGTGGTCTGTCCAAGTAATAATGCCATTTTATTAAAATCTTTTTTTTGGTGAACACAAGGCACGAGAAAAAGTGTGCTGCTCAAGAATCCAATCATTTGGCTTGATTTATGACTGGTTTTTTATGTCACACCTAAAAATAGAATGTTTACCCTTTCTTCATTGATGATCGTTTTTATTATTTTTTAAACTGAAACTAATAATTCAGGTTTTGTAGCTTGGTATACATACCCTTTATCAATTTTAAAAGCATCGCATGCTGATTGTGAACAAATATAGTCATAAAACACAGAAATATAAAGTTACAATGCAATGTGTAACACCCGGGTCACACACCCTAAAGAAGACATGTGTTTATTAAGCTGTTTATCTCACTTTACAACAGTAATTAAAATTATTTGTCAAATGTTTATTAGCCTACTTGGGTAAAATTTAGCACATGTTTACTAAAAATTAAAAAAAAAAATACTAAAGTAAATTCTGTTTTAATGAAGGTCACAGGTCAAATATTTTTTTCCTTCTGTCAAGCTCAGTGAGGGTGCAACAGGCTGACCTGACTCTGGAATTTTTTTCAGTAATAATGTCTATGTGCAGAAAGTTAAAATATGCTAAATAAATTCAATAAATTCAACTTGGCTTAGTTTACATTAGTTTACAAGTGTGCTAGCTATTATAAATTATTGATAGGCCTATATTTTTTAATTAAAAAATCATTAGGCCTATGAAATTTTCATCAAAATGCCTAGACTACTTAAAAAAGGAATCACCTGTTTTTTCACATTACTAGACTAGTAAGACTAGAGTCGCGGGCAATTTTACGTACCTAAAACGATAGATTACCATTTTACGTACCTGTCCTAAAACGATAGAATATCCCATATTTAATCAATTAGGCACTAAATTTGAAGTTTTTAGTTCGTTTCAAACTAAATTACTTAATTTAATATTAATTGTCACTCACTGTCATGCACGGAACACCTCTCGATAACCAACACAATGGAGGCGAGCGAGTTGACGAGATTCCTTCCATAATGTTGTTGACATGGAATAAAAACGTGCTTTATTAGATTTAGGCCGTAAAAAAAAATAAAAAATAAAAACTTAAGCCTAAAATTAATTTAGAAATGTTATATTCTTAGAATAAATGCTATAAAAGTTGCAAATCAAGAGAACTTGAAAATAATTTGTTGAGTTTAAGGCTACATTTCTATTTATTTTCATCAAGCCTAAGTTATAACCGGATGTTTCACTTTCGTAAGACAAATATTGACAGTAACTTGGTGATCGATAACTATTTGTTTACAAAACTTTGCAGATCAAGTTTTTAAATAACAATGCAAATTTAAAACCCCATGACCTAGTTTTCTATTTTTAGCTTACAATGTGTACAATAAAATCTATGGCGGCCTATCCAATAGCAGGATGCCATTGTTTATGTCGCCATTACACGTGAAAACCAAATTGTTTTTGCTTTTTTTTAAATTTTTATTTAGTTACCGAAAATATTATAAACATCAAATACATCCAATCTTTAGTAAAGTCCGAAAAAAACCAGACAGGCAGGATTTTATAACCATATTAATTGTAACTACGCTGTGCATGATTTTTAAATGAATTTATATTTTATACACCTCTCAAATACCTTTGAGACTTTTCTCGCTGGTGTCCATTAATTAATGCACCACAGTTCCTCACTAGAGATGAGCCAAATAGCGGTAACATGGTTTTTAAAAATGAAAATAAATTGGCTGAGATATGAGAGACGTATAAAAAAAGTGCCGACAATATTTGATTTCTTTTTACATAGACTGATAGACGTAATAATGCTTTACTTACAAGATCATTTGTGTACCTACATTGTTGATATTTTTCAATTTTTATTTATTATAATCATAATGAAACCGACTTTTGAATTTAGCTCACGTTCTGCAAACCAAATTTTTAACTGCTTTTCTGGCATATATAGCCCTGCTACCTATAGTTTGTTTTTATAACGCGAAAACCCCGACATTTTGTACGAAGTCATGCATCCGGTCTGTACGCCATATTGCTGTTAACAACCGGCCAGGCCTACGTGTTGGCGAGTAATACTACATAGACCTAGTAATACAGTAACAGTCCACTATCTGTATAAAAAATCTAGATTTGAGTCTAGATCTAGAATTTTCTAGAATGTAGGTTTTAAAAGTGTCCCTTACTAAAAGTTAGGCCTACCTACTTGTACTTGAGAACAAGATGCTCACTAACTTGAAAACGTCCTTGGTTGCTAACAAGAACATGGCTACCACACCTTGGCCTACGATTGGGCAATTTTTGCTGCTTTGTTCGAGAGACCACATTAACTTTAAAAATAATTATCACGCGTAAAAAAGTTTTTTTTTCGCGTATTTTAAGCTATCTGAAGATGACAAAGCTATTTTTGCCAGAAAAAAAAAAATAAATTTGCTTCCGACAATGTAGGTCAAACGTAAACATGGGTCGGTAAAGTTTAAGTTGGTTAAAAACTTAAAATATCGGCCTCTAAAGTTCCAAAACTGCTCGATAAGGTAGGGTATTATTATATTGATCTGTTTCAGAATTAAAATAGTAAATTTTTAATTTACTGTACTCATTTTGAGAAAACGGAATCGCAACTTAAACAATATTTTTTGTGAGTGACGTCATCGCTATTGATACGGAAGATGTACAGTAGTATCCTCTGTTGCTGCTTATATAATTGTGTTTTCTTTTCACTTGGCATTTTTATTCGGCCTAATTTGCTAGCGTAATTAGGTTAATTAAGCCTATTTATAAATATTTCACCTGGCTTTTGGATTATACCATGACTCTAAAAGCCCTTAAATCACAACGATCTTTTATTTTTTTTTAAATTTTGTGTTGATCCCTGGAACTAGATCTAGTAGTGAGCGTTGGTCTTTGTGTGCTTATTTAGGCCTAATTATTTATCGTTAACAAATTATTTATATCTTAAATAATTTATCTTAATTCTTATTGGTTCCATAAATTTTAATTAGGTTAATTATAATATTATTTTTACTGGTCTTCGTTGATACTTTTATTAGGCTTAATAATGTTTATATTATTAAGGTTTTAGAGGCCTGATAAATTAAATGATTTTAGCGTTCAGTCTATGTTTACATTACTAATTAGTACTTAGTAAACCAAGTACGCATGGACTAGGACATGTGTGCTGTGCCCGCGTTGTGGCCGGCGATGTTTCTCTCGCTGACAAACCAGCGCGAGCGAGTCGTGTGTCACACTTGGTAAACGGAAAAAAGTCACAGGAAAACAAAAACCCAGAAAAAAGTCACAGTTTTTGCTAGGAAAAAGAGTCATAGAAAAAAAGTCACAGTGGAAAAATTTTATCGGAAAGAAAGTCACAGAAATAAAGTCACAGAAAAAGTCACAAAAATCTTTTTAGAAATATTTTTATTAATTTGTTAAGAATTGTAAAATTGTGTATGTTTATTGTTGTGGGTTGTATTTTTTTATAGCATAAATTATTTATACACGTTAAAAGCAATATGATTTATAACAATTGTAAGTAAAAACACTCTAAGATAATTAACACAACTATCTCAATTTTTGTTACGTTTTTAGTAAAATACGTGGTAGAAAAGTTAATTATAAAAGAAATGTAGGCACATTTTGCTGTAGGCTATTCTCTGGTCGGCCTTTCCTCCGAACATATTGTCCGTTGTTGACGTTATGCGTCAATGACAGCCTTTGAACCTTGTCGGCTTTCTGTTTTGATCCTAAGTTTTGTTATGCAATGAGCGTGATAAATGTGGGCAGTAAAGGTGGTTGAACTAAACATAACTATTGTTGCCATGAGTTGAGGGCAGCAAGTCAGATGAACTTACCATTTCGCGGTAATTTAATATTGGTATTTAAAAAAAACATGATGAAAAACGTGGACTTTGGAGCATTCTATTAAATGCTACTAATCTTAAGTTTAAAATAATTACAATCTACACACTTCATAATAAATATTTTTAGATGAATTATAAAAAATTCTATGCGTTTACAGCCTACACACATTACATTACATTTAATTAATCCTAAGTTAATTTGCACTCTCTAAATACTTAATACATAAAAGTATTAACAAATATCATGTACATACATTTGTGACTGTTTTTCCTGTGACTTTTTTCCTGTGACTTTTTTCCTACAATCGTCACACATAGCCTGTGTCGATGTTGGGTGTTGTGAAAATGCGAGACGCGAAAAGCGAAATGGCGAGGCGGGAAAATGCGAGAAGATAATGCGAGACATACCTGCGGAATCAAGGGTAAATAGCGAGACACCTTTTGCGAAAAAAAGTTTTTTTCATCTTATTCATTTAAATAATTTTTTTTTGTTTTAAAATAAACAAGCATGTAGCCATACCCTTTAACACGAGTGTTGTATGTTGTTATTTTTTATCTAGATTTCATTATATATAGATAGATAGATAGATACTAAGAAGATAGATAGATCTATATCTAGATCTATCTATTAAAAATCCTAACTGTGGTGGCGTAGATGCAGGTGTAGGATAGACAATGTACGTGACGGAGACGATCGACGAAGCACGGGTTAGAATTAGATTGTAATTACGGGCGACATCATTGTGGATGGTAGGTGTAGCAGACACGTATCTAGTTAGCCTGGGTGACCGTAATGGGGGTAGTTTATTAGCAGGGTCTGACATTTTAATCAGGTACGACAGACCTGTGGCGACATGCAAATTAGGTTAGACCGGATGGGGAAGACAAAGAAGTGAGGACGATGAGGGTTAGGAGACAGTTGAATCTAGGCAGTCGGGGTTGAGAATTTGTAGTGAGAGGACATGTACAAGTGTAGAGTTAGAGAACAGTGTAGTGACAATAGTGTAGGAAACCTTGAACAGTAGGTGTAGAAAAGAAGTATATATATTGTGTCAAGTCTAGTATATTCAAGCATCAGATGTGTAATAATTAAATGTTGTGAATCAAATTGACTTTCGAGTTATCTTATTTAAAGCACGGAATTGAGAGTATTCTCGTCCTCGTCACAATATATGTTCGTTTATAAGAAGGAAAGTAATAAAATAATAAGAAGAGAAGTCAATTCCCCCCACCACACTAACCTCGTTGCTGTGCTACTGTCATCGCCCGCTCTCGTAAGCGAAAGGAAAATCCCGTCTCAGTCGACATGAATTTTAAAAATCTAGCCCGTTCATGTTTATACAAACGTGAGATGTGTCATTGTCAACTGATATAATCTTGTCAGCAGGAGAGATATTCGGCAACATGTATTCATGGATTTTTGTACTTGCAAAAAGTGTAAAAGTATAAATAATTCTAAAAAGTGTATTTTTTATTATGTAATTTTAATTACAAACACAATTTATAAACAAAATTTACAAACAAAATTTTCTGAAACAGTCCTAGCACTAGTCAAACACACCTCGTGACACCATCTTTCACACATACTACATCTAACCCAGTTCATTATACTCCCATGTATACATTTTTCTTTGGCTACTTCTTCCAATCCACATTCACAACATGTCACATTCTCATCACAGTTGACCTCCCCGTTCATCCCACACATAACACTGGCGGCGGCTATAATACAAAATTTCTATGCAACAATACAAAATATGTTTGCGGCGGCAGCGGATTGGGGCACGGTGATCTTCAATGACGGTAAATCAGGCGGCCTCGGCGTTCCACACAAAAGAAAGAAGTTGATCTATCGTCGACGGTATTTCGGGCGGTTTCGAACAAGGTGGTACTCAAAGTCGACACAAAAGATGGGGAGAGTTCACAAATCATCAGTATGTCTAGCGACGGAAAAATCGGAAGTTTTAACAATGTAAACGAAACGTCTTTGAAGTCTGCACCAAACACCACTGTAAATCGGGGCGGTAAATTTTTCGCAGAAATCTTCGCATTTTAACACCATCCTGCGTAAGTATCGGGTTGTGGTAACATGCGAGACAAAAAGTCGCGTGACCGACCGTTTTCGCGCCCATCTCGCATTTTCCCGCCTCGCCATTTCGCGTCTTGCAATATACCAACACCCGTCGATATTTGGTCCAAATATATCTCGCTCTCGGGTGATCAATTTTAATGCGCCGACATTTGAAAAATCAAATAGACACACATCTTAATTAAATACATTTAATTTGAACTTTATATTAATCTAGGCCTACAATACAAATTATAACCTGGGCTAACAAGATATAGAACATGCTCACGCCGGTTATCTAAAGGACTCACGCGGGCTGGCGATGTTTGTAATTTGCCTATTGTTTCAAATTTATTTTTTTTATCCCAAATTAGCAAGTTCCATAGTTAAATAAACCGGGAGCGATCTCTAGCTGTAACGGTATTCAAGTTATCGCGTGGTGCGCAATTCTTTTTTCAACCAGATTCTATTCTATTTTTAAAAGTTTAAGTAATTAAAAATCCTGTCTATATTCAGGGGCGGAACTACAGTGCCGCCAGACCCCGCAATGCGGGGGGGGGGGGGGGCCCAGACCGATTAGGGGCCCAATAATCCTGGCTAAATTATTTTTAAAAAAATTAAAAAAAAATTAGGTGGAGGTCGAGTTATCTTTCTTCTACAGTTACAAACAAACACGATAGTCGGCAAACGTCTTTGAGAAAAATGCACAGACTATAGCTCGAGAGACCGCCAGACATATAATAGACAACTTCAAAGACGTAGCCTACAGTTCTTTTTTGTGGCGTCGATTAGGAGAACAAAAAAGCATTGTTATTTTGTTTACATTATTAAAATACAAATCTATGATTGTGTATTTAAACTACTGGCCTGAATTCTACAAAAAATATAATTATTTATTTCGATCTCATACATTTATAATTGAAAATTGAGTCATTTAACTGCCGGCACGCTTTGAAATCGGACTGGTGAAATGTTGCGGCGACTATCCTGGTCTTCTAGGCGACCGGAAAAAGTCGGCACTATTGATGTAGATGTTTATCGGCGCTTTCTTCTCCCCTTCCAATGAACCTTCCCAACTCTCTCCCCTCCCCCCTCTCACCCCTACCCCTCACCTCTACCCCTCACCACACCCTTACTCTTACAGTAAGATGTAATGCATAGATTAACGAACTACTGAACTGTAAACTGACCACTTCTGCACATTTTGTTAAAGACACTAGTCAGTAGTTGTTCATTTACCTGATGAACAGGGGCGGAACTACAGTCCGGCCAGACCCCGCAATGCGCGGGGGGGGGGGGGGGGGGCAGGCCGTTTAGGGGCCCACGGCTTACCAAAATTAAATTTTTTTTAAAATTTTGAATTTAATTTTCGTGCATTTTTGCCTTAATATTTGGTTTGTAAAAGAAAAACACTGTAGCTGCGGTACGATTATCTTTATTTTACAGTCACTATACCACGCTCTTCCGCAAAAGCTAAAATCCATTACACAAACTACAGTGTAAAATATAGGCAACTCTTCAAATTTGAATGACTTCTTTGACTCGTTGCCCCCCCCCCCCTTTGATAGCTAAATAGAGGACACGTAACTGTTTGACCGATCCTCCAAAGTGTACTGTGGCGGATGGGGCAGGGGATGGGGACCAAAAAGGGGGTTCAAAAATGTCGACAATTTTTTTACATATTTAAAACAGTTATTTATAGTTGTATTTTTAAACCATCATCAAGGCCGAATTCTATTTCCCTACAATCAAACACACGCTGTCGCCGGCAAAATTCTTTTTAAAAAACAACAAAGTCCATAGCACGAAAAGCCGCTACATATGAAGTGGGCTTTCTTCTTTGCGGCATTGGTAAGGGACCCGAAATCCATTGTACATTTTTCAATGTTAATATGTGTTTGTGATAGTGGTTGAATTTGTATCCTGTACTATCTTGTATCCTACAAATAATAAAAAAAATAATATAATACTAGAAACTTCAGTTTTATATACGTTTACTTGTTTTTGCTTTTACAAGAAATATCATAGTAAACTTTTAAGGCCTATACTTGGAATTATCTCCCCTGAGTAAGTTTTCCAATGGGCGATGCTGACGTACATAGATCAAGGCGTTTTGTTGTCTCTTTCAAGTTTTTCTCCCGAGCCGACCCCCATCCCATCCCTCTTTCTCAACCTCACAAGTATCGAGGAGATAAATGTATCGTTTATGAACTACTTCCTAACCGTACGATTCACCACTTCAGCACATTTTGTCAGACACTAGACAGCACTAGATCTAGTCAACAGATATTAATTTACTTTCATAGTATTAGGCACATCTAATTCACAAAACAGGGCAGGTAAGATTATTTTTTATATAATTTAGAAATTAATTAGAACGTTTAGAATTAATTGAACATTATTAATAGTCAATTACTATTTATAAATGACGTCATTGAGGTGGGGGTGTGTGAGGGTCTGGCTTTATGTTAGTCCCCCCCCCTCCCTCCCCTAAATCAGAAGGTTATCCAACGCGTGACCTGGCCAAATACATTTGTACATGTGAAAAACATTTTTCTGTCTATTATGCATTACTGCATCATTCACCCAATCGCCATGAAAACTTGGGAAGCTGTTGAGTACAGCCCCGCAAAGGTTTCTGTCATAAGGCCTAACATTTGTACATATTGGAGTGGGGACTCCTAACGGAAATGTGTGATTTAGCGCCCCGTGATCCTGCATAAGCGGATGTGGTTACTACTTGAATACAACCGGCGGCAGTGTCATCCAGAGCGCATCACATATGAGCAAGTTGGCCCCCACATACAGTCGTTTAAAAGTTCCCACAACACTAGGAATAAGTCTCGCTACAACACTCGATGACTAAATCTAATTAGGTGTCGCACCAATGTTTCTTCCAGGATAGACTGTTTTCGGGGGAGGGGAGGGGGGGGGAGCTCTGCCGAAAGAAACAATGTGTTGCACCCATAACCCGTGCATTAATGTAACCGGTAGCTCCAAGAGCCCCGTGACTCCCCCTGACACCTGGGCCGTCGCCGAGGGACTTACAGCATGCCTTGGCGTGTAAGTTGGTAGTGTGGACAAACCCGCGCCCTAAGATCCAAGAAATGAACTGCCGACATTGTTAACATTTAATTCAACTTCTGGAAAACAGGGCACACTGTTGATAACGTTTTGATGAAAGCCTCAAAAATCGGCGTCAGTTTGGTGTGTTGGACTAGATTTAGAGAGTCCGTGCTTCTCACTTGGAAAACTGACAGGGGCCAGCTCGTGTGTTGGAAAACCTCTGATTTATTCGTGTACCAGATGGAAATTAAAAAAAAAAAATTAGAGCGACCCTTGTTTTCCATATATATCTATATCTATATCTATATCTATATCTATATCTATATCTATATCTATCTATCTATCTATATATATATATATATATATATATATATATATATATATATATATATATATATATATATATATGTATGTAAGCCCTGCTAGGGGGGGATACCTTAAAATCTATCTACCCTTCCCTAGGCTTATCTAACTACTGTCCGGTCAGTGCAAGTCCGGCTAAACCCAGACTGGTCAATAACCTAACCTTAGTCTAAATTAAAAACAAAAAACTTTTAACAATAATATAAAATTTATTTAACAAAATAATAAATATGGAACCAAAAGTTATTATAAAAAAAACCAGAATCTAGATCTAGACAAAACACTCAAGACATAGATCTACAAAACAAACAGAACTCAACGAAACAAAACACCCAATTTCGGACCACCGTCCTAGAAAGAGGAAAAATAAGACAAATCAATTTAAAATGTAAAAAAAGTTATACACAAGGCAGTAAGCTGACACAATTGTCAGCCTAAACAAGAGGCTCTCATAAATGAAAGTAAAATCTACAATAATCCATGACTAAACCCAGGCCATCGTGCTACCACGTGGTCTGGATAAAACAAACATTGAAACTTCTCAAAGTCAAGACTAAATAGATCTAGTACGTAGTCACTTTGTATACAAAATAAGCAAACAAAAATATGGAAAACATAATAAAACACTATAAAAATAACCCTACGTTACCATACACCATATAAAGGTGTCACAGAAACTCTTTAACACACAGGCCTCGACATTCCAGCAGAACGTCCCTCCCTGTCGACACCCCACATTCACGAACAAAGAACCCAATACTACGAACAAAGAAACCAAAGCTACGCACAAGAAAATAGTCCCTAATACAACAATAACTTACATTCAGGACATAAAGCAAAGTGGAGCAACAATTCAAAACAAAGTTTGCATAAATAATAACATTAAAATATAAACAAGACACAATAACCAGGCTACAAACCATTGTAAAATCGAAATCATATCAGCGCCATAATAGCGGACTACTTAACTAAAAACCACAACAATCCTCAAAGGAACATAAAAAGCGACATTCGCCTTCTTAGTTACAAATAATTATAATAACAGATAAACACACTCCAGCCGCTCACATATATATATATATATATATATATATATATATATATATATATATATATATATATATATATATATATATATATAGATATAGATATAGATATAGATATAGATATATATGGAAAACAAGGGTCGCTCTAATTTTATATATATATATATATATATATATATATATATATATATATATATATATATAGGGGCCCAAAAAAAATTCTGCGGGGGGGGGGGGCCTTTTTTTTCTAGTTCCGCCACTGTCTATATTCCGAGTTATCCTAATCTATAAAACCCCACGTTCGCACATCTCTCTCTCTCTCTCTCTTTGTCTGTCCGCAAAATATTTTCGCCGGACATCACGTCAGAATCGGCAGCGATATATCGAGAACTTTTTACGGACTTTTGTTGAAAATAATATGTTAGATGTTTTAAATGTATAACCACAATTTTATTTAAAGAAGAAAAATAAAAAATAAAGGCGTATTCGAATGTAGAGAAACAGTATTATTTATGCAACCGGAAAAGCATTTATGGATGTGAAAAAGAACGCATAAAACTGTGACGTCACTAATGTTTATACATTAACTAATGACGTCATCTGCCGTGTTTAGAATAAAAAGAAATGAATTATTTCATTCAAATTTGATTTAGATCTAGATCTACGTACACTATGAAATGTACACAATACAATTTTTCCGGCCTAAACTAATACAATTTATTTTATTTATTTGGATTCTAGATCTAGAGATTCTAGATCTAGACTAGATCTAAATCTACAAATCTACGCAATAACTAGATCTAGATTCTAGATCGAGACGTAGACGCTAAGATCTAGATTTAGACTCTAACTTCTCTAGAATCTATTCCAAAAATAAATTTCTATATTAGGACTAAACTATTTCAAGACATAATTATTTTATACAAAGTCTTTGTTTGGAACTGGCTAATTTGGGATAAAAAAAATTAATTTGAAACAATAGGCATATTCGCGTAAGTTAAGATTTTAAAATACGTCTTTTATTCTCCCTGTTTTCTAAGGTGCCTATATAGCGGAGATGATAGTGTACTTAAACTCACGCAGGTGGTGTGGGTTCGAGACGCACCAAGTCAACTTAGTTAATCTATTTTTTTTTATTTTGCTGGGGCTAAACTTAAAAAAAAATTCTATTAGGATTCTAGATCTAGATCTAGATGATCTAGATCTACGGAACAACTAGACTTACACAGATGTAGACCCTACCTAGATCTAGAATCTATTCAAACAATACATTTCTATACTAAAGTATTTCAGGCCTTAATTACTTTATTGAAATCTTTGTTTATCTTTGCAATTTGCTAATCTCTATAATATATAAAGCAAAGTTGTCGGGTGTCCGATAGGGCGCTTCCCGGCGCCGCAGGCGCTTCAAATTTGGCAGGATCTTGCCTTGGGGCGACAGAACACGAGGGCCGGTTGGCCGAAAAGTCTACGATGAGGGGGTCAAAACTGACCTCGACTGACCGGCGCCTTATATGAGCTATAAATCGAAAAAAAAATGTCCACGTAGGAACCTCTTCATAACTCCTGAGGTCGTAGACCGACCCTCGGGCGAATTAATTAAGCATTCAAATTCTCAATGTTTTCGAAAGCCTAAGCGAAGCTGGGCAGCATGCCTAGTATAAGAATATTCGAGAAAGTTTAGGGGAGATCACTCCCGGTTTATTAAAAATAACAACCATGGACAGTGTTTTCATAACAATATAGGTATAACATTTGTCAATTTCTTTCTACTAATTTTTACTTTCTCGTATATACGAAGTATAGAGAAAGTCTTGTAATCGTGCACAAAAAAAAAAAAATCCAAATCTCGAAGTTTTACACCTCACTGATACGGAAAAACATAATTTTGCAATCTTGTACGTATGTCTGTGTGTGTGTGTGTGTCTGTCTGTCTGTGTGTAAACACGATAACTTGAGTACAGCTAGGTTGATGAAATTTCATATATAAGTATTTTATCAAAATCGTAGAACCGTATCAACTTTTGAGCTATTTCCGATAACCGGATGTGGTACTTTTTCTACTTTAAATTTTTCACAAGCCTATAAATTGAGTACTATATCAGATACATAAATGAAATTTCACATGTAAGTAAAAAAAACTAATTCTCTCCCTTCTGTCAAATTTTGTGTAATTTCCGTTGACCGGAAGTACTAATTTACGCTATTTCCGATTTCTCAAAAAACGCATGTAAATTTATAAAGTACTAATAATATTGCGCACTATTATGCACATCTTTATTTGGCGTTCACAAAGGCTATGGAAGCAAATCCAAAAAGAAAAGCAGTCAATGGCCTCAATGGCGCATAACCAGTTGACACGTAATCCTTAATTGTGATAGAAGCATGGTCGAGTCGAAAAAAGTCTCGAGTTCAAACCCTCTGGCAGATAAGGCTCGATCCCTCCCAACACTAAAAATTAAGAACGAAGAAGAAGAAGTATTAGTATAGACTTCAATTATAGCCTAAAGTTCCGCAGGGTTTAACACACGCTGCGGCCATCATCCTGTTTCTCACTTTAATATGATAATAATTGTTTGGTTGTGTTATACGAAACTACCGATATATGCTGTACGCATGTCCATTTCTAAATATATCCATGTCAAATTCTTTTGTTTTCTTCTTCTAGAAGACGAATTTTTAAATTTAGGTATGACGTCGTCGGTGATCCAAGTTCCCCCGGATGAACAACACTAGGTCCGGGATGAGACGGTTAAAACAAACCAATCAAAGCTTTTTATAACTAGGCTAACTATAAATAGCTTCTACATATGTGCGGGGCCCTGTAAATACTACTAGCCATCGGTACCCGTTTCACGTGAATTATCATAAATCGAAAATTATAGGTCTATATATTTTAATTTTAAAATGTACTTGTTTGAGAAAAAAAAATTATGAAATAGTTATTGGTCAAAACGCAATGTGCTTTACTACACTCTGAACGATATTAGTGACAAATTAAAGAATTAACTAATTAGCTGAAATCCGACCAGTGTTTCTTCCAGACTTTTTTCTCCGGGGGGGGGGGGGGGGGGCACTTGAAAGTTTCGGGGGGGGGGGGGGGGGGCGGACACTGTTAAAAGTATATATTTTCTATATAGATTATATAAATTTCATTTCGTTCTGGGGGACGGTAAAAAAATTTCCGGGGGGGGGGGGAATAGTCGTCGTTCCCCCCCCCCCCCCCCCCCCCCCCCCCCCCCCCGAAGAGATGCCTGGAAGAAACTCTGAATCCGACACATTTAACATAAGACAGGCACACACTAATTACTATTCAATGGTCATTATGTTGTTTTTAAGTAATTTGTATTAGTTTGACATATAAAATTATTTTCACATATTAAAAAAATGAAAAAAATAAGTTTTGCATGGTGTGTCTCGATCCCGCACCACCTGCGCGGTATTAAGTACACTACCATCTCAGCTATTTAGGCACCTTATAAATTATTTTAAAAAGTTAAACTTACGCGAATATGCCTATTCTTTCAAATTATTTTTTTTTATCCCAAATTAGCAAGTTCCATAGTTAAACAAACAAAGATTTCTATAAAATATGTTAACACCTTTGTCCTATATTGTTGGGGGGGGGGGGGGGGGGAGTTGACATGAAATTGTTTTAGATATAATATCATACTGTATATATCGAGCGAAGATCACTCGACGTCAGTTTTCACTAACTTACCGTGGACTGATGCCCATCGGTGTTCTATTTGCCCGACAACATGCCGTATTAGTAGCGGCTGCATCACCAGTAAGTGCCCTAACCGGCTCTGCCCCCGCCCCCCCCCCCCCCCCCCCCCCCAAAGATGCCTGGAAGAAACACTGTAATGAAACTAATTTACTTTCTATAATAAAAGCTTTGGCCGCTAAAATATGTAAGATAGGGATCATTGGAAAAAAAAAACAAAGAATAGGCTTATCTAAGGAAGTGGTCACTCACAGTCAGTTTTCATGGCCGAGTGAATTGCCGAGACCTGTGTTAAAAATAATTTTCAGAGCCTAAGTACCCTTAAAAATTGTTAAAATTCGTCTTTCTTTTAACGAAATGTACAATGTTTATTTAGGGAAAAATGACTGGTCAGCTTTGACCCCTTTACCGATAATTCCCAAAAGTGGCTTTCGTCGACAAAATTTCTTTTTCGATATATAACATAAGGCGCTGGTCATTTAAGATCAGCTTTCAGTGACTTTCACCCACTCGCCCACTTCATAGTGTTAAGTAATAAAATGGAACATATTTCAATGGTATAATTTTAATTTTAGTCCATGTTTGAGGGCCTCAAAGATGAAAAGTGACAATGCATAATTGTTGTAAAACACATGTTGGTAAAGTGAATGAAATAATAGATTAGAGATAAAAAAAACAACAAAAAAACAATAAAGTTTATTTGATTAACAAACGTTAAAATCAAGGAAAATTAAAATATAATCAATATATCAACCTCACGCTTTCATACTTTGTCACCCAATTACAGAAACTTGTCACCTCTAGTCTAACAGTACCTTACTTACTCACTCTCTCACCTTATATATATATATATATATTTGGTATATATATATATTTGGTATATATATCTACATACATGTACAATTGTAGCCTATATGTAAAAAGTTTTGACGTTTTAAGTTGTTCACATTTAAAAAAAAATATAGATTTAAATAAATTATAACAAGTATAATAATACAAAGAAATACATGAAATTATATCAGAGAAACAGAGGTTGTATGATTAAAAAAAAAAACTTGTATGAATATTACATGAACATGTTTGTCCATAACATGTATTAGTGAAACTGCATTGTACAAGATTTATTTTGCAACAATAAAGTAAGTCATTGAACCTGCCACAGTGCAGAAGACAACATTGTTTCTTCATTGTTTTATATATGTGTGTGTGTGTGTGTGTGTGTGTGTGTGTGTGTGTGTGTGTGTGTGTATCAAACAAGGTAATCGTAAAGAATGTGCTGTGATGATTTATGACATCCATTCTTTCATTGAAGTGTTTTTTCTCTTGTGTGACTATTTAGGAATTGTTGTTGCATAATTTAACAAAATTAAATTTTCAACCTTGCCTTAACTGCATTCTTAGTGACATCATACAAATGGACAACAGGCTGATGTTTCAAATGTTTACAAGAAAAAATTCTGACAATTTAAACAAGTTTAAAAAAACATTGTATCTGCTAATTTTTAAAATGAAATGTTTAGATAGCCAATACATTTGTAGGCCTATTATTCTCTATGACAAATAATAGAATGATGAGGATTATATCCTGTATAAGACACCTAATGACAGTGAGAACTTTTTAAATGACAAACATCAAAGTCATATTTTCTGTCTCCACTTTGTGACCTCCGTGCAAAATTCATCATTTTATCATAAAGATTAGTGATCCTTGTGAACAAGAATTTTATGACCAACATAAATTCAGGAGGCTAATTTCCTAAATGAGACTTCTGATGGATAGATAGAGAAGATATCCAAGAAAACATTTTATGACACACATCACATTCATCATGTCTTTTGTCTCCTGAATGAATCTTTTAATGCATAGATAAATAACTTCGCTGACAAGACTTTTTATGGCTTAGTTATTTCCAGAGTGAATAATTTTGTGTGTATTTAAACTAGATTTATGAGCAAACTTTTTATGACACACATCACATTCATGTGGCTTAAGCCCAGAATGAGTCATTTGATGTCGAGATAACTTGTACCTCTGACCATACTTTTTATGACACACATCACATTCATGAGGCTTATGTCCAGAGTGAATAATTTTGTGTGTATTTAAATTAGATTTATTAGCAAACTTTTTATGACACACATCACATTCATGAGGCTCAAGTGGACTGCCTGAATGAATCTTTTTATGCTCCAATAAATGATTTTTGTGAGTATACTTTTTATGGCAAACATCACATTCATGTGGCCTAAGCCCAGAATGAGTCAATTGATGTCGAGATAACTGGGACCTCTGAGCAAACTTTTTATGACACACATCACATTCATATGGTTTCTCATGTAAATGTGTTTTTTTATGCCGAGATAAATGACATTTAAGATTGAAACGTTTTTGACAAACATCACATTCATATGGCTTGAGATTAGAATGTATATTTTTATGGTCAGATAAATAATTCTTCGAATTGAACTTTTTAAGACACACATCACATTCATATGGTTTCTCATATAAATGAGTTTTTTTATGCTGAGATAAATGACCTTTTAGATTGAAATGTTTTTGACAAACATCACATTCATATGGCTTGAGATTAGAATGTATATTTTTATGGTCAGATAAATAATTCTTCGAATTGAACTTTTTAAGACACACATCACATTCATATGGTTTCTCATGTAAATGAGTTTTTTTATGCTGAGATAAATGACTTTTATGATTGAAACGCTCTTGACAAACATCACATTCATATGGCTTGAGATTAGAATGTATATTTTTATGGTCAGATAAAGAATACTTCGTAGTGAACTTTTTATGACACACATCACATTCATATGGTTTCTCATGTAAATGAGTTTTTTTATGCTGAGATAAATGACTTTTATGATTGAAACGCTTTTGACAAACATCACATTCATATGGCTTGAGATTAGAATGTATATTTTTATGGTCAGATAAAGAATTCTTCGTAGTGAACTTTTTATGACACACATCACATTCATGTGGTTTAATTCCAGCATGAATATTTTTGTGTATAATCAAACTATTCTTCTGAGCAAAGTTTGTATGACACACATCACATTCATATGGCTTATGTCCAGAGTGAATAATTTTGTGTGTACATAAACTAGATTTATGAGCAAACTTTTTCTGACAAACATCACATTCATATGGCTTGAGATTAGAATGTATATTTTTATGGTCAGATAAAGAATTCTTCGTAGTGAACTTTTTATGACACACATCACATTCATGTGGTTTAATTCCAGCATGAATATTTTTGTGTATAATCAAACTATTCTTCTGAGCAAAGTTTGTATGACACACATCACATTCATATGGCTTATGTCCAGAATGAATAATTTTGTGTGTACATAAACTAGATTTATGAGCAAACTTTTTATGACACACATCACATTCATATGGCTTATGTCCAGAGTGAATAATTTTGTGTGTATATAAACTAGATTTATAAGCAAACTTTTTATGACACACAACACATTCATGTGGTTTAATTCCAGAATGAATATTTTTGTGCATAATCAAACTATTCTTCTGAGCAAAGTTTGTATGACACACATCACATTCATATGGCTTATGTCCAGAGTGAATAATTTTGTGTGTACATAAACTAGATTTATGAGCAAACTTTTTATGACACACATCACATTCATATCTCTTGAGATTAGAATGTGTATTTTTATGTTCAGATAAATTACTCTTCATAGTGAACTTTTTATGACACACATCACATTCATGTGGTCTGATTTGTGCATGAATATTTTTATGTTGAGATAAAAGATATTTACTATTAAAACTTTTATTGCATCTGTCTTCAGGATGTAATTTATGCAGAGAAAACTTCTTGTTTATTTTCTTAAGCTGTTTTACATGACTGTTCATAGCACCTTGTTGATGAGTTTTCATATGTTGTGTAATATGATGAAAATGAGTAAATCTTTGACAACACATATCACACTTATATGTCTTCAGTCCCTTGTCACTGAGCTCATACATTGTTGGAAAATTATCAATAACTTCTTTATGCAATTCCTTGAGTTCTTTTAAATCATGATGAAGATCTGATTTTAAAATTGTAAAATTTTCAATAAAAGCATCAGAATCTGGTAAATATTCAAGCTGTCTTTTATCATCTAAGCTATTTTTGTTTTCACCACTAAATATTGAAAATGCTAATATATCCTTTTTCATAACATCAAAACTTAAAAATTCTGTTGAAACATTTGGTTTCATATCTTTAGAATAATAAAATGTTTTATCTGATTGTTGATCTGAAGTTGAAAATGGAACTGTTTCGTTTGACTTGTCTTCAAAAGGTGAAGATTGTGATGATATATTTTGATTGATAAGATTTGAAGTTGAAATCAATGGTAAATTTGGTTTCACATCTTCTAAAGTTGAAATTGCCAATGTTACATCTGATTTAAAATCCATAAATTGCATTGCTTGGTCATTTGATTCCTGTTTAACCACAAGTGCACTTTGCAAAGACATGGCTGATTTTCCCAGTCTGTTCTGCATAAATTTAAATAGATGGCTAAAAAAGAGAAAATAAAAATAGATATGAACAGAAAAATAAAATGTTTAAAATCTTTTATCCCTAAATATCAACATTTTTAAAAAAAAAATAAATAACCCTCTAGCAATTTAATACTTCAACGAGAACAATATTTTTAAAAGTTTTCAACTTTTTAGTAATTCTCTTCGTAAGATGAGTAGAGATTAATTACTTTTGGCCTAAGACAAAATTTTATTTTATTTAAACTTAGTAATTTTCCTTCAACAAATGTTGATACTCTGTATAGTATACTTTAAAGTGTGACCACTAAAGTAAATACCAACTAGTGCAAACTTTGCTTATGAGTCCACACTAATTGTTAAGGTTATAAAAATGACAATTTAGAATAACAAACAATGCTTGCTAGATGAATCAACCTCATCTATTTTTTCTGGTATAGCTCTCAATCAGCCCATAATAAGATTTACAAAACGAAGTGTCTATTCCACGTTGATTGTGAATAACCGTATTAAGGCTATTCACAGTCATGACTGTTTTTAATACATTTAATGTTTAAAAAACACAGAATGAGCATGAAAGTGTGTGGACGATTGGACATAAGTGGCTGTCATGCTGGAAGGTGTGGGTTCTAAACCCACTGATGCCTACTTTCCTATAACTCTTTTTGTAGGATGCCTAATTGTCAAAATTTTACTTTTTCCCCGTTATTCATGGAAGGGTTACTTTTGTAAAAAAAAAAATTCTTATGTGACAAGATTGCTGGTCAATCTTAAAAAAAAAAAAACAACAACAACTGAGCCTTAGATTTTTGCTAAGAGAAAAAAAACAGGTTGGGAAAATTGTGATGGAAACTTTGAATAATAACTGATTAAAAAGGACATGCTATTAATATTATTAATTTAAAAATAAACCCAGGAGTGATCTCCCCTAAACTTTCTCGAATATTCTTATATAAAACAACAGGGGATGGGAACTCGGGCTATAGACATGATTTTTAACCATTTCCCCGGCGACTGGGTGTAATCGACCCGAAGTCGCTATATTTTTGCTCATATCTCGAGTCTCATTTTATAAATTTTTCTGGGCCTCATTCCCATCTATAAGGTGGTTGGGATGAACACATTGGAGGTTGTAAATTTTTAAAATATGCGTAAAATTTTTTTTAATGAGAGTTTGAAATTTTTTTTATACGGTCCCTGGCAACTGGGTGCTACACACCCGTACACAATTTTAAATGGAAAAAAAATATTTATAACTTAAAAACTGGCTTCTAAATATTTGTTTTTACACATTGTGGGTTAAGTCATTGTGTTACATTTTCAAAGTTTAACTATAAATTAACAATCTGAAGGTATTTGAGTAACAAAAATATCAAACTGGATTGAAGTAATCAACTTTAGTAACAAAATAATAGAACATTAACACGTTTTAAAAATTTGCACCTCAGAGAGCACAGTTGTTAGTTAAAATTAAAATAACTGGACATTTCCTTTTGCTGGCAGGGAAATTTAGTTTTTTTTAATAAAATATGGGCACCCTTTTAGTGGTGTTAAATGAGTCACAGGTCCAAAATATTTTATTTCCATACTTATCGGAATTGCTTGGTATGTATTGGATAAATCTACTCCCACCTCTAAAATCAACCAGTTGCTAATTAGTAATGATCTCTCCAGAAACATAACTTCTTTCTAAATTTGAATGGAATATCTACCATAATGGAAGCAAATATACCATGAGCCTGATGGACTGTTAGTGTTATTGTTGTGAAATTCAATATGACCCAGAAGGTTGCTGAATCTCTTCATAGAAAATTCTGCCTTCAAAAACCTTCCATAAGGAGAACTGAATTGACATACAACTAAATTTTTATTCTGTAGAGTGCCAGTGTCTCCTCTTGCTTTCTCTCCATCCCTGCTAATGCAGTCAAATATTGGTTGTATTATTTTTTGTATTCATGCACAGAAGAAATATTTTGGGTCAGGCTGTTTATAAATTTCCTGGGATTAGCACTTCAGATTGTGGTCTAGTGTACTGTTACTTTGTCTTTCCTGAAAATATTTATTTTTCTTCACTTTGCACCAACCGTTTCATTTCATTATGAGTGCCAACTGTTGACACATTATTGATAGTTGAAATGCAGTATATTGGGTAGACCTCGTCATCAGAGCTGCTTGATACTGAACCAGCATTGTCTTCAAGTAATGATGGCTACCATTCTTCATCTTCTACCTCTGATACTGATGGCTGCCATTCTTCATCTTCTACCTCTGATACTGATGGCTGCCATTCTAATACTTGAGCCTCAAAACTTGTTGGTCATTTTCACCTACTATACTAAAACTGGCAAATATATTCCTTTATCATTAGCACTTGAGTTTAGATAAAAGTGTTCAAGGCTTGTTTCTGTTGTGTTCTCGATAGCGTTTGTGACTATTTATAAACCTTACTCTCAGGGTCACAACCTGTAGAACACCCACCCCACTCCCAGTTTGATCAATTAATTGCCCAGTATTAACTTTCAAGCAGCATTACAAAGTTGTTTTGCCTTTTTGTCCTCATTCGTACTCCTAATGAGGTTAATGTCAAGTTACTCTAAAAGGCTTGAATGTCTCTATCTACATTCCAGAGCTCCCAAAAAGAGTACAAATCACTATATATGTCCTCCCACAGGCAATCTTACCCCTGCATTTCATTAACCTATTGTAACTCTAAACTACAGTTCTGTCTGTAACTGCAAGTCAGAGCTCCAGCAAAGAGTATAAATCACTACATATGTCCACTAACAGGTTAACTCTTGCTTGAGAATCCCATCAACCTGTAGTATCATATTACAGCTCTCCCATTGACAACAACATGTCTAGTGTTCCCCATGGCCACAATGCCCTGAATACCTCAACTGTGTCAGTATTGTTACCCACCCCACAATGAACAAAGAAAAGAATTTACTATAAGAAAGTCTTTGGGTGTGATCCACCCAGTTGCCGGGGACAGGGTACCAAATATGTTGCCGGGGAAAGGTTTAATCCATTTTAAATACTTAAAGTTTTAAAAATAGAATAAAATCTCGTAGACAAATTAATTGCACACCAAGTGAACACCAAATAAAAAAGTGCATAATAGTGCGCAATATTATTAGTACTTTATAAATTTACATGCATTTTTTGAGAAATCGGAAATAGCGTAAATTAGTAGGCCTACTTCCAGTCAACGGAAATCACTCAAAATTTGACAGAAGGTAGAGAATTAGATCTTTTACTTACATGTGAAATTTCATTTATCTATCTGAAATTGTACTCAAGTTATAGGCTTTTGAAAAATTCAAAGTAAAAAAAGTACCACTTCCTGTTATCGGAAATCGCTCAAAAGTTGATCAAGATCTACGATTTTTATAAAATACTTATATATGAAATTTGATCAACCTAGCTGTAACTGTACTCAATTTATCGTGTTTACACACAGACAGACACACACATACGGACAATTATGTTTTTCCGTATCAGTGAGGTGTAAAACGTCGAGATTTGTAAAAATCTTGATTTTTTTTTTGCAAGATTACAAGACTTTCTCTATAGGCCTACTTCGTATATACGAGAAAGTAAAAAAGTATCAATAATAGCTAGCACACTAGTAAATAAGTCAATTTAGCATATATTAACTTTCTGTGCAATGAAAAAAAATTCCAAAGTCAGGTCGGCCTGTGGCACCCTTCACTGAACTTAACAGGATGAAAAACTTGACCTGTGACCTTCATTAAAACAATTTTTTTTTTACTATAAGTAAAAGTGTCTTTAATCTTACCCAAATAAGTAATAAAAATTTGACAATTAATTTTAATTACTGTTGTAAAGAGAAATAAACAGCTTAATAAACACATGCTTTCTTGAGGGGATGTGGCACATCACAATTGGAACTTTGTATTTCTGTGTATTATGACTATATTTGTACACAATCAGCATGCTATGCTTTTTAAATTGATAAAGGGTAAGTATACAAAGTTATAAAACCTGCAATCTAACTAATGCTTCATACTTTCAGTTTAAAAAATAATAAAAACGATCAATGAAGAAAGCGTAAACATTCTATTTTTGGTATGCCATTAAAAAAAGTCATAAATCTGGCAAAATGATTGGATTCTTGCACAGCACACTTTTTCCCGTGCCTCGTTTTCACCAAAAGAGATTATAATAAAATGGCATTATTGCGGGGTGATAATTTTTACCAAGCTCATCTTGTAGCTACCAAACAAAGCAATTAGGTCAAAAAGTAGATCTGACAATTCTTAAATAACAGACTTAAATAGAAACGGATAGTTCCGATTTCTAAAATTAACGATGGCCTTGTAATCATTAGTTTTAACTTTTATCCTTA